AATAAAAGAAGCCCACACAGGTTATAACTGGGGCCCAGGGCTCTCTTCTCTCCTGGAGATGGGATTTTATTGGTCACACTTAGATGAATACCAACCCTTCATTTTTCATCTTTCCTGCTGAGAAGCGGGTCCCCGAGTCTGTGCACTTCTCTCCTCTTTGCATTTCTTATAGTCACTGCCACTGAGTGATGTGTACAGAAGGTGGACCTGAGATGGAACTTGTTTTTTCATAAAAACCAGGGTACATGTGTGCCAAATGCCCAGCTTCCCCCTGGTGTCCCCACCCTCTGTTTAGTTTTGCAGATTGGTTGAAATGTAGTGAGGGCGATCCTGATGAAATTTTTTTGGGTGACAAAAGTGTTAAAAGAGAGAAGGGGGTCGTGGAATGTAATGTTGTGGGGAGGGGGCTGGGAAAGTACCTTGTGAAGATCATGCATCTGTTTTATGCGACTGTACAAAGCCAGTATTTGAAGGAAGATTGGGTGAAACCATTTGAGTGATTCTGATTGGTTTGGCTTTATGTTCTGATTTAGCACTTGTATATGACCTTGCTGGACTCCACTGGGATAGATGAGGATTTGCGATGAGAGGCTGGGGAATGGACATCAGAGAACCATATTCGCTTACAAAATGAATTGTCATCCATTTAAAATAGTTTTAGAAAGAAAAAGTTTTCTAGTGTAGTAATTCTCAAACTTTTCAGGATCATAAACCCTTCCAAGAATTTCCCCCAAGAACTCTGAACTCTCCCCCAAAGAATGCATGTATGCTCATATACATACAATGATTTAAGAAAAATATCAGTTTTAGCAACTGCCAGTATGCCTTATAAGGAGAGTCTACAAGAGCTGTCAAAAGTGTAGTTCTAACCCAAACGCCAACATCTAAGAATGTGGATCTAATTAAGGTCATTATGTGCAGACTTCTGGAAGGAATTAGTTGTAATGAATTTCTGCTAGTCTTCAATTCAATTCCCTTCCCACTTGCCTCTTAAAGGGTAGGATTTGGGTTAACAATGAGCTTTTTGGCACGCCCTGCTTTCTTGCTGTGACTGGCCTTTTCTGTCCAGGTACTGGGGACACTCTGTCATTTTGTCTTTACAAGGAAGGGGCTTCCATAGCATGAGGATATTCATGTACATGAGGGAGACAGAGAAACTCGACGCCAAGTGTTGAAGAGGCTGGGGGCAGCAAGTTAGAGGGGGTGTTTCGAGGTCACATAGGTGTGGCGGGAGAGACTGGGTGACGAGATCTATGCCTTGTGAAAGAGAGACTGTGGAAGTTGTTTTGAATCCTACTTAAAAGGACCCCCCCCCCCAAGAAAAATGGGTGTTTACAGATAAATGCCTGGGACCCAGGAGGAGGATGGTGGCCAGTCTGGGGCTGGAAAGGTTTTGTGAGAGACAGATGAGTCATGGGGATGATGGATGGCCACCATCGGCTGTGACCAAGGGATTTTTGCACCCTGCTGAGAACTGTCCTATCTTTCAGGCTCTCGACTCAAGTTTTCTTCCATCTGAACAGAGTTTAACAAAGCAGACAGAGAGCAGGGTAACAGGAGTGGCTGAAGAGAGCAGAACTCAGTCACTGTCCCTGATCTCAGACTTCCACAGGAGCAGCTGGGGTGAGTGAGTGAACGACTGTAGGCAGATTTCATGGTCACAGAGCTAAAAATCTGCTGTCACTCAAGGACAGCAGTGAAGTTCATGCAGTCTGGTCAGCTCTCTACCCTAGGGTCTCTAGGCCCTTTCCTGTCCCTTACATTTTTTGCTTGTTTTTTAGTTTGAGGGCCACACCTGGCAGTACTCAGGGTTACTCCGGGCTCTGTGTTCAGGGATCACTCCTGGCGGTGCTTGGGGCACTGTATGTGGTGTCAGGGATGGATCCCAGGTCAGCTGTGTTTAAGGTCAGCACTTACTATCTTTCTGAGATTTAGCTTCTTTTAATTAGCCACACCTCAAAAAAATGCCTAAAAGACTGCTTTCTGGTGAGAATCTAATAAAACAAAACTTTTTCCTGTCCCCACATTTGGGATTTACGGGTAGAGAAATTGCTGCTCTATTTACTTTATTTTCCGTGATGGGATTCAAACCCAAGCAAGACAAGTGCTTTATTGCTGAGCTATATCATCTGTGTCTTTTACATAGTGAGTAGGATACAAAAATAAAGGTGCAGTTTGATCATATCTCACGAGTCAGGAGTGAGTATGTGTGTGTGTGTGTGTGTGTGTGTGTGTGTGTGTGTTGTTGTTGTTGTTGTTGTTGTTGCTGGGGATCCAGCCCAGGACCTCATACATGCAAGACATGCACTCTGTCATGGAGCCACTTCCCAGCCCGATGCAGCTGTATTTTATACCCGCTGTCAGATATAAGCAGCCCCAAGTCTGTGTGACAAGCTGGCCTTTGGTGCACCTGTAGAGACATGGGAGCTTCTTTGATGACTAAACACATTAAGGGATTGGATGTTGGGAGTGTGGGTAAAAGAACAAGCAGGGCCAGTGTTAGGGGGAACAGGACAGGCCACATGACTGTTGGGCTTGGAACAAAGCAAAAATGTGAGGCTCCTGAGCAATAGTACAGCGAGTGAGCATTTGCCTTGCTTGCGACCAACCCAGGTTTGATCCCTGGCACTTCGTATGGTTCCCTGAACATCGCCAGGAGTGATCCTTAAGTGCAGAGCCAGGAGTAAGCCCTTAGCACTGCTGGGTGTGGCCCCAAATCCCCTGCCCCCTTAAAGGAAAAGTGAGACTCCTTGTCCAAGTTGTTAAAAATGTTAAGATGGGGTCAGAGAGTATAGCAGGCAGGGCATTTGCCTTGCACTTGACCTACTAAGTTTGATCCCCGGCATTCAATATGCCCTGAGCCTGCCAGGAGTAATTCCTGAGTGCAGAGAGAGGAGCAAGCCCTGAGAACTCCAGATGTGAGCCCCCAAATAAGACAAAAAAATTCTCAAGGTAGCAAGAGCAAAGCATTTCCCCATGAACTTGGTTCTGCCTCACTGCGGGGGCTGGGGACAAGCCCTTGGAGCTGCCCTGGCTTGAGCAGCAGAAGTTGGTAAGGGGGCAACTTAGAGATTTGAGGGGTGTTAGAGATCTAATTAGAGGGGACTTGGGAGTATAGGCTAGAGACTCCCTGAAATGTTATGAAACGATGTGCCCTTCTCAAGTGCATTAGCAAAGCCACTATCTCTCATAGGTGAATGCTTTTCCAGTGGAAGCTGATGGAGAAGCCAATGACGGTTCAAAGAGAGTAAACCCCAGGCTGACCCCTGGCTGTCTACTCTTGTGCTTAATGTCCAATTAGATTGGCACCTTTGATCCCCATCCCGTGCTGTCAGTTGCAAAGAATGAGAGAGATATTGTGGCCCATGAGGTAGCAGCCCAACCTCGCATAAGACACACATCGCTGTAGCAATGAGTTGGTACAAAGAACCAAGGGGTATTGTTAGTGCAGCTGCTGAAGGAAAAGTGGGATAGGTCAGCAGTGGCCCGGAGCCTAGGGAATTACTCTGCTCCTCTCTGCAGAATTTTCTCTGCAGGTCTGTCTCTGTTAAGGCCTCTGTAAAGCTGGCAGCCAGTGTCTGTATCTCTTTAACAGGATCTTTCAGGATACCTCTCATATTTTAGGTCCTGCATTTATGGGGAAATTTCCCTCACCCCCTAAGTTTTTTCATGCCATTCAAGCATTTTGGTAAAAAACCTGTGCTTGACAGCTAGAAATGTCCTCCTATAGGAGTCTGGAGAGAGAGTACAGTGGATAAGGCATTTGCCTCACATGTGGCTGACCTGGGTTCAATCCCTAGCACCTCGTCTGGTCTGCTGAGCCCCTCCAGGAGTGATCTCTGTGTGCAGAGCCAGGAGTAAGGCCTGAGCATTTCCAGGTAAGTCCTTAAACCAAACCAAGTAACAAAAACCAAAAAAGAAAAAAAAAAGAAATTTCCTCATATCACAGAGCATTCAGGGACAAAATGGGTGTTTATTCATCTTTTAGTGTAGCAAGGTAATGCATGATACCTTCTTGTGCAGAATAATCATGATGAACAACAACTGGAAGTACCTGACATTAGGATGAATACCACAAATCCATGGATTGGGGTGGCTAGAGACCCCGCTGGGGTATGAAGAGCCAGCTCAGTCCTGATCTCCTGAGCTCTGCGTCCCTTCAGCTGGACATGAGAGAATGGTCCGGATGGGCCTTTGTAACCCCCCCAGAGGCCAAGCAAGGATGGTGCCTGGAACATCACCCACAGAGTGGGGTCAGGAAGGGGGGGCCCAGGGTTCCTTTCAGACTGTTATTAAGGCAGTGAACCTGCGACTTTGAAGCTGCCCTTCCTCAGCCAGGCACAAGGGTTGGAAGATGAATGGGTTCAGTGGTGGAGTTGCCCGAAGCCCCATGTTCCGTATCGTTAGGGATGTTTGTGTTTGCTCTAGACCAGGGGATACTGAGAAGTATCCTTGCATCCTGCTCCTCGCATCTCTCTTGAAAAAGATGAGAGTGCATCTGGGATGTTAGGCCAGTGAGCTGGTGTGATACTTCTGGGAGAACCCACTTACGAAGCAACAGAAAGGACTGCGCAGCGACTCTGGACCCCCCATCCCATCACTCTTTGGCTCACTGTCCACTGTGCTGGAGAAGGTAGGGAAGGAGATCTCTCCTCTGAAGCGAGACAGGAGGAAGAGAGCAGCCGTAACCCCTTGCCCACTTCAGGTCTTGCCCACCCTCAGCCGGATCAGCGGCAGGGAAGGGCAAACTCTGTTTTGGACGTGGAGTTGGCATTTTTAACTGGGCCTGATGGAGCTTTTTAATATCAAGAAGTGGCCAGGGATGTTACTGAGTCTGTTCAGGGGATTATTAAAGGATCTCTCCACAGCAGGCCACAGAGAGTCACCCCGACCCAGCTGAGGCCAGGGCGGAAGAGAAATAGCCTTGTTTCCGGGCTGCCCCCAGTGGAATTGAGACTGCGCAGGAAACCAGTTATATAGGACTGAAGACTTCATTTCTTCTATGTAAAGCTGGGTCCCTGTGCATTTGTGTTGTGGGGCGCTGTGTCTGTAAAGTGAATTTGAGAGTGACCATACTGCTTCTGCAAATCAAATACCTGAAACATTGAAGGAGGAGAAAAGAGACATACATAAAGGTGACTTCCCAGATAAATAGGAAACAATAAAGGGGCACCTTGTAAGTTGCCTTTTTCTTTCTCTCTCTCTCTTGTTCTAAAGATTTCCATCTGTCAGATTCACAGTAGTGGAAGCATTGGGCCACACGCTGTGCCTCACTCTGTGCCTCACTCTGTGCCCAAGACTGACGCCTGGCAGTACTCAGGGACCATAGGCGACGCCAGGGATGCAAATCTGGGTTGGCCATGTATAGAGCAAGCACCTTATCTCTTTGATCTATCTCATTGGCCTTAAAAACATGTTTTTAAAAGTGTTATTCATATTAATTTGTTATGCATGTTATTTTGCCAATTTTTTTTATCATTGTATTTGTCAGACTCTTTTCACTGAGTTTTACTTAACTTAAATTGTTTGTAATTAAAAACAATATAGGGGTCACACCTGGTGGTGCTTACAGGACAATATAGCACTGGGATCCTACTGAGGATAGTATGTGCACCCTCAGCCTTGTGCCCGTGATCACATAGGAGAGATGTGGTTTTAGTCTGTCTGCCTCTCTCTCTACTGCCAGAGCTTCTTCTTCTTCTTCTTCTTCTTTTTTTTTGGTTTTGTTTTGTTTTGTTTTGCTTTTTTGGTCACATCCAGCGATGCACAGGGGTTACTTCTGGCTCTGCACTCAGGAATTACTCCTGGCAGTACTGGGCAGAAGGGAGGGGAGGGAGGGGAAGGAACTATATGGAATACTGGGAATAGAACCCGGGTTGGCTACATGCAACGCAAACATTCTAGCCACTGTGCTATCGCTCTAGCCCCTGCCAGAGTCTTCTTAACTATTTGCAATACTCAGTTTATTTAGACAAAAGCTATTTCATTTACATTAAAATATTCCTAAAATAATTTAAAAATAACTTTCAACATACTTTATAGTGACAGAAAAAGTTTGTGTCAGAGAGTGCAGAAGTTTATTCTTTCACCTCTGTCTTGACAACTGAGCTGTTTTCACATTACAGGTCACCATCTTGCATCATCTTTCAGGTTCCGGAGTCCTTAGTTTTCTTGTTTCAGTTCTGCCTCATCTCTATTCCTGAATCCCAGTCTCCTAAAATGTAAGCAAAAATATCCTCAGAACCATGGCATATGAGAACATCTAAGAACAAGTCATGCTCCTAGTCGCCTAACTATGTGTGAGTGGAGTTATGTGGTCCTGGAATGCAGGGGAACTGATGGGCCCTTGAATTTGGCAGGGGCTCTGACTCCCAGACCTCACACTGACTCAGCTCTCTCTCTTCACTTGCCTGCTGCCAGCATGTGGTGACTTGCCAAATTCGACCTTTTTAATATTTCAGGCTCACTGTAGAAACGTCATTGAATCTTGTTTTTCTGATTCATGATGTCTAACATCTTTATGTGGCCCTGAATACCTGTCCTGATCCCATTCTTCTGCCCTCTTTCCTCTCCTCTTTGCATGCCCTTTCTTCTCTAAATAGAACTGTGTCTGTTCTTGGCTTCTTTTGTTTTGTGTGAAAAAGAAGCCCTCTCCTTCCACCAGTTTCTGAATGTCCAAAATAGAATTAAAATTCCAAAGACCCACTGAGGAAATGACCTGGATTCTCACGTGAGAAAAATAATCTCTTTTTTTAAATGTTGATTTTTTTTTTTTTTGACCACAGCCAGTGAAGCTTAGGGGCTATTCCTTGCTTTCTACTCAAGAGTGACCCCTGGCTGTGTTTGTAGAATGATATGTGTACTGATCACACCCCGGTCAGTAGTATGTAAGGCGAATGCCTTAACCTATGTACCGTTTCTTTGGCCCGGGAAACAGCCTCTTTATCAATTCCTCCTAGGATCTGATTAATGGCGGTCCTGCAATATTTTTCATTCTCTGAAAGACCAATGACTTATTGTGGACCACACAGAGTTCAAGGCATTGCAGACAGGGCACACATGTGATGTGATTTCTAAGGTTGAAAATCTAGAAAAGGGAAGGGACCTTAGATAAATGCCAAATGGGCCAACTACCACAATGGCTTCTCTGAATCTGGAGTGATCTGAAGTCTCACTGATAAGGGGTCCCGGGTTGCTTCTTTCTTTCCATTAGGCCTTAACGGGAGTGCTGTGTTCTACTCTATGTAAAAAATTAAATAGATATTCTTTTCTAGAAAATAATGCATAGGTTATTAATTTTTGAACTTTTTATCAAAGACTCTTTCCCTACATGTAGTAGATAAGACTTATGAGTGGAGAAGATTAGTATATAACTTATTGATAAGATGAGATCCGTAGGACTGGAGCTGCAGTTCACTGGTGAAGCACATACTTCAAGGCCGGGGAGAGCTAGTAGAGTTAGCGTGCAGCCCTGGTTCCATCCCTGGCATGGACACTACCTGGTCCCCAAGTACCTCTGGGGATGGTGTCAGCTTCCAACCCCACAGAGTGTGAGGCCCAGAGCTTGATTCCCAGCACCTGTCCCTACTCAGATAAAGTTCTGATTTAAACTTGAGAAAGAAAGCCATTATTTTAGAATCATCCCTTACCTCCTTCTCAATATCCCTCCCCCAAAACCCCAACCCATCCTTTTTGAGGATTCCGGACTCATGCTCTGTAACTTCTATTCAGGTATTTACCTTGGGTGCTTTTGACCAGGATTCTGAATATGTTGAGGCTGACAGATCCCGAGGGGTGTCAACTCAACTGCAGATGGTGAATGCTTGTGTTGGAGAAAATCACTCAGTGTCTTGGTGACACTTTGAGTTGTTGTTCTGCCAAACCTTTGGGGCATATTAGGAACACGTCTTGAGATGCCTTCTTTCATGTACCTTCCAAATTTCAGAGGCAGGTTGGCCCTTTCACCTGCGTTCCTTTCTTCTTCTGTGGTCCTCCCAAATCGCAACGGCAAATTGGCTGCAGAGGGTTGCATTTTCTTGACAGTTGGGGAACTCATCTTGTTGGCATTTTTTGGCCCCCAATCTTTTAATTGTTCAAAGTTGTGATTTGTTTCCTTCTCCCCCATAGGGGCTCTTGTAGGCTATAATTAGAAATGACCATTAAAATAATTTATCATTGTTATAAGGCATAGATTTGAACCCTAAATTAACTTAAATTCAGACTTTAATCTGCAGAATTGTTAAAGCCATAAACAAAGTTTGTATTATCATGTGCAGTATTTTTTAATAAATAATTTGTATTAAGCTTCTTTAAAGCAATCTAGTTTCTCTGTCCCTGGACTATTGTAAGACAACTATAAGATATTAATAAAATATGTGCAGTGAATATAGCAATGTAGTTGAGCAGCAGGAACATAATGAAGTATTAAAATGAAGCAAACGTTTCTTTCACCACAGTTATTCCCTTTCCGTGTTTGATGCATGTTGTTTATAAAATATTTTCTATACTCTTATATTTTATTTTAGGGGAAGCTCCCGGTGTGTCTCTCATTCCCTCTCTTTAAATGAAGACCAATGTGGGGGATTCAGGAGAAGAAAAAGGCACCTTATATTTTCAGGTACAATTGGAGGAAGCGCCGTAGAGTTTATTTATTATCCCCCCCATATTCTGAGTTCCACTCCAAAAGCATTTCTCAAGAAACTATTTTTATTAGGACATAAATTACTTTTTTTTTCAGTAAAGGATCAATTGGTTTGTGGCTTACAGTCCCACTCATATACCAGCTTTAAAGAAACCATTGTTAAAGATTTAATTAGATTTAGTTTTACCACAAAAGTTTGTCTGTATGAAGATTTTTGCATAATTGTTTTCAGATTGTAAAAGCAGTACAATAATCCTTTCAGCAAATTTGGAAAATATATATTAAAATAAAAAAACAGTAATAGAAGCAGATAGAAAAAAACTTGCAATTCATCATCTAGAGGAAGGTACACATCTTACTTAGATATATATTTACAACAACCTTACTGTCTCATAATTTCTATGTAAAAAATGTAAATGTTGTATTATTTGTTTGTAGCTGAAGATGGTTCAAATATACAGCTAGTATGTATCCAGAACTTATTTCTGCAACTAGTAATAACTGTTGTACATGCTAAAGTCAATTGAAAACTATTAATGCATCATATAATTGCTAAGTATCATACTGAGTACTAAAATTATCCAGCAGGCACCAGGTGTTTGTTAAAAAATAAGGTTTGCTAAAAAAAAATCAGGTGTTTGCAAAAAAACATGAATATGCCATCATGGGAAAAATGAGCTGTGAGATTTGACAAAAAGCAAAGTAGCAGCAAACATATTCCTCACTCTTTACAAGAACATTAGATTTCAGACAAATATTATATGGTTATATGCCAGTCCCATTAGAATTAGAAAAACTTACCTCAGAATATTTGTGATAATTTTCCTTGCTGTGAAGACTGGGCATCATTAATTCATCTGCGCAAAAGCTGTTTGATGTCAACAAGCTCAACATGGCTAAAGCTAATAAAATGTACCGTTTTGATGAAATAACTTCCATCTTGCTTGAAATCCAGAATTAAATTTATATGTGCAATAAGATGTCAATTGACAAGAAGGGCTATCTTGGTCTTTTATACTGTCTAAAAACAAAGAAAAGTTTGCTTTAATACTGACATCAGTACCACAAGCTTTAAATCCTACTATTAATTAGGGTCTTTAAATTCTGCACGTAAGGAATGTGGACAACTCATTCTGAGAAGACAGCACTCTTTCTAACTGTTAACATTAGCTTCGAAAATATTTTTTTTATTGTGAAGTCTAATTAGGTAAATGTGAGGCTGCAATAATTAAGATTCCAAACAAACAGAAAGCTTCATTTCTCTGCGCTCAAAAAAGTATTGTTTTTTTCAGTGTTTGCGTCAATTCTTGGAAGAAGGGAAAATGTTATTCGATACATGCTAGCTATGCATACATTTTTTTATTCACACAAAAGAGTTAGATACAGCTTCTTCAGAATGGCAAACAAAACTAAGGATGGGAAAAAGTCACATCGTCTCCAAATAAAATGCTGTGAATCAAGTTTTTATGAAATGCCATTTGGTTACTTAAAAGCTTCGGAAGTAAATATCAACTGTAACCTGCAGGGTGAGGGGAAGAATTTGCAATCTGAGTCTGACAATCTGGCTGTCAAAGGAGAGGCTGGAGGCAACTGGGTTTTGTGTTTGTCCTGTGGGGCCTTTTTGGGCAAAACTTTAAAAAGCTCCAGGATTTTATTTGCATGATGTGTCTAGTCCTACCTCTTTCCAGAAAGCCTTTTGGAAGGCAGCAGCAGTTTTGTGAGGCAGAGCACGCATTAGTTTGGTTGTTCTCCCAGCCTGTATCATTTAGTTCATCTCCTGATATCATGGCTTGAAAAGAGAAACTACACAAATAAATGCTTATGCACTGAAAAGCGAAAGTGAGTCTCGTTAGGAGCAGTGTACCAAAATTTCCCCCAAAGTCTAGACTATATTAGGATGTAGAGTAGTATTGCTCATTCCTCCCTTTCCAAGAGAAAAGACCTTGCCCTGATTAATTTCCAGCACTCTAGCTACTTCTATAAATGTAGAGATGAATTCACAGAAAATTAAGTCACACAACTTTGTGTCAAGAATGATACCATCTCTAGCCTCTTTCACCAACCTGCAATATTTGAGGTATGAGTTGGGCCAAAGCCAAGACTTTTCTCTATGATTAGAACTACAGAATAAATCAAGAAGTTGAAAAACAGTGGGTAAACTTTTGGGTACCTCAAGATCACACTTGCCACTGGCCTCTCTTAGGGCAATGGGCATCATTGGACTCATTTGTTTTAGTCCGTGGTAGCCAAGAATCCCCACAGTAGGAGGCAATTAATTCAACTCATAGTCTAGTGTTAATTTTGTAAGGCTGTTATTGGATTATTTGGGTTTAATTTCCCTGAGGATTTAATACATTTCTCTTCTAAATTGTTCTTTTGCAAACTGCTGATGGAACTTCCTTTTTTTGTGGTCAGTAGATCCAAACTTTTGAGAAATGGGTGAGGCAAGGGGCACATTTTGTGGGCCCAGCTCATACTCTGGAAAAAAAGCAGAAGCATCAGCCTGGGCTTCTTCAAAGTCTGTTTGGATCTAGTTGCCCTGAGTGCTAACATCCTCCAGTTTTCAGGGCTACCACATCTGTTAGCTCTTTTTTGATTGTACACAGAATTTGGAGTAGTTGATCTAACTATTCCCCTGCCTCCACATGATTTTAGAGTTTCCAAGTTTGGTGTGTAATTAGAGTTAGATTGGGTAATTTAGGGCTTGGCTATCCTCAGCTATATCATCAGTTATCACTGAAAACATGAACAGATATATGACCTAACATGTACAGTATGAAATCACCGTGTCTTTTAGTGAAATGTGCCTCCATAGAGCACATCTAAGGAATCTGGGTGAGATGTAAGGACATACCAAAAGCAAACAAACAAATAAACAAACAAACAAAAAATTCATTAACCTCCCCCAAATCTATCCCCCTGACATGTGATGTTTACATACTTGCTTCATTGACTAAGACAGCTGACTTCTGAGCTGATCCTTTCAGATTAGATACTTCTTCTGAATGTAGCTTCCCAGAGACATAGCTCCCTACCAGAACTAAGTCTGTGAATGTTCCACAGATATCTTGAACACAGTAGGTCAACTGTGGAATTTACTTCTCACCATGTCTTTCTCTTAAGTTTCCTGTTTCACTGCATAGTATTGTATTGGTCAGGGTCTAAAAGGGAGACAGAAAGTACACAGAAATTTAAACTAGAAAAGATGAAAGCATTTTTTTATAGGTCCTAATGATAGTCCAGGGGTGGAAACACTTGCCTTGCATACGACTGGCCCCAGTTCCATCTCCAACATCACATATGCATATGGTCCCGCAACACCACTGGGGGTGATCCCTGAGCACAGAGCTGGGAGTAATTCCCAAGTACCACTGGGTGTGGCCCAACATCCCCCCAAATTATTTATTATAACCATTATATAATATTTGTTATATATAATTATATATGCATAATCATTTATTATCATCATAAATTACACAAGGGCCAAGGGTTGGATTTCAGACTGTATTGGAGAAGGTGCAGATGGCTGTTTGCTGTACAGGAGTTTGCTGTATCAGAGTCTTTCTGTTTTGGTAAGCGGGATATATATCCTTCAGGGATGCAGATGGACTGAGATGAGCAAGCAACTTATGGGTACATGGATATCTTTGATATGGGAAATCTGCCACTGAAACTCAATGCAGGAGAACATTATTGGGGGTGCTGGCAGCCATAGAGAAGCAAACAGAAGCACATGGGGGCCAGGAACAGAAGTTCTTTCCTCTGGCAGTCCTATTCAAGTGTCTTCTACTGACACAGCAGAAAATTGTGCCAGCTGCAAGGGAGAAGCTCAGTGGGTCTATCTATATTCTCACGGAACTTGCAGTGAAGGATTTGGAACTGAGAAATAGTAAGCAAATAACTGGCACAGTTACTCCCAATCACTATTTTTCTGAGCCAGAATCCTTTGTGACATCCTTGAAAATTTTGTACACTTTTCTCCCACTGTCCCTTCCCTAATCTGTTGTAAATAATTATGTTTCTAGTTTTCCACCATCATATTCTAATAATAATGGCCAATATTTTTTGAGCCCTTGTCAGGGATAGGTATAAGTACCTCATCACCATGATCACGGTCCTCCCGTTGTTCATCGATTTGCTTGAGCAGGCCCAGTAACGTCTCCATTGGAGACTTTGTTGTTACTGTGTTAGGCATATCGAATACATCATGGGCAGCTTGCCAGGCTCTACCGTGCGGGTGAGATACTCTCGGTAGCTTGCCGGGCTCTCCAAGAGGGGCGGAGGAATCGAACTCGGGTCGGTCATATTGGCTGCGTGCAAGGCAAATGCCTTACTGCTGTGCTATCACTCCAGCCCAGGTATAAGGACCTAGGGAATTAAATTCATCATTTAAAAAATTTATTTGTTTGTTTATTTAGTTTTGGGGTCACACCAGACTGTGGTCAGGGCTTACTTCCTGACTCTGTGCTCAGGAATCACTCCCAGAAATACTCAAGAAACCATATGTGGTACCTGGATCAAACCAGGGTTAAATGCACACAAGGCAAGACTGTACTCTCTCTCTAGTCTTAATAACAATCCCATGAGCAGGGACTGCTATTGTTCCTATTCAACAGGAAGGAAAACAGAGGTGCAAAAGGATTAAGTTACACTCCCTATCAGGGGCAGGGCTTGGATTTAACCCAAGCTGTCTGAACATGCACTCACTACGTCAGCCTGCTCAGTCACACCAGGCTTCTTTAATTCTAATAATTCTGATGTCTACTCACTGTCACTGTCACTGTCCTTCTGTTGTTCATCGATTTTGCTCTAGCGGGCCCAGTAAAGTCTCCATTATGACACTTGTTACTGTGTTTGGCATATTGATTACATCACAGATAGCTTGCTGGGCTTGGCTGTGGATGTCTACTCACGTCTCTCCATTTTTCTCATCATTTTCCCACACCTATACCTTTTCCTTGATCCTCTGAAATTCTTTGTCCACAGGACAATAACCCCCTAAAAAGACCCAGATCCAGACAGTCAAGTTCAAGTGGAATGAATGTGAGTTTGGAGTTATTCTGTTAGCATGTCACTGCAGCTTGGTTAAGTTTAATCTACTTGGATGTTCTTGCCTTTTCAATGGTCCATACGTTGGGAAGGGTATACCAGAAGGATGGTCTGATGAGGCCCTGGGGGTCTCTTGTCAGGCAGATGGCATAGCCTGTGTATAGGCTATTTTGATTACTATTCCTTTCTCATGCACACTAAATGCACATGACCCCCTGGAAGTCAGTAACAGATGGGAGGCAAAACATTGCCACCCCTCAGGAATTTAGCTGACTGGAGTTGGGGTTAGTACTTCATCGGACACTGGTTCAACTAATAAGTTGACCAGAGGTATCAGTATCAGGTAAAATGTCTGAAATAAGAGGTTAAAATTGTGCTCTGGTCTGGTTTTTATTTTTTATTTTTTTTCAATTTAATCAACATAGTCTTTATTCTATGTATTATGGAGAGTGACCTGTCACTCCACCTATTAACTTCTCTCGAGGCATGATGAGGTCTTCCAAGGAATAATTAATTTCATCACCCAGTGGCTACACATTCTAGAGCCTTCTCTTCACCTACCATCCAATACTTAATTCCTAATCGCTTGCCCTTTATAAGTTTTTTTTTTACTTTCCTTTCAGTGAAGCATAGTCTAACTGTTGTGCTCTGCAGAAAAATTTATGGACAGTTTACTCTTGTTTTCATTGCAATGTATTTTGGAACCATTTGTTCACAAATGTCAGGTTTTTTGAGGTGGGAAGTGGGCTGAGAATATAATTTATTTCAGCATTATGTGTTCAAAGAGAAAGAAATACCTGCCCTGGTTCCAAATAAAACCTTTCTATGCAAATTATCTGCGATTATTATTTTAAAGATGTGGTGATGATGCCTTTATTTCAAGATTTATG